TCACTACATTTTGAAAATTAATACTCCTCAATTTTTTCAAATACTTTTCGTTTATTCTTATACTAATCAAGATTCTTTTCATATTTTATAAAAATCTCATAATTTCTGTCGAACAGCTGACTGAAAACAATTAATGGAACCCAGCAGTGAGCACTGGTTAATACGAGTCTATCCATATTTATATAAGAAATCAAATAAAATGGGGTTTAACGTCCTGTTCTGCTCTGACTGGTCTAATGAAGACGGGCATGCGCCATACAACGTGCTATAAGCGAAATCTTGCCCTGACAGTGGCAATTACACGTTAAAAATAGACATTAAATACCATTTGCTACGTAAAGCCTAATATATATACCTTACAAGCATTATTAATATAATAATAATAATAATAATAATAATATACTTTTAGAAAAGTCTGTAAACCTTATTCTATGATGTTTATTATTGTATTGTAATTGGTACTGTATGCTTTACAATACTCGTGTATATACCATACAGTTGGGTAATAAGGCATTATTATTATGTTGATATATTTGAATGGTATAAAAAATTTGTTTACCTTTCTCAAATCCAAGTTTTCCTGAACGGGTATATTTCCCACATGGCATGCTGTTACATCTTCAACAGGGGTGCAGTATACTGCAGTCGATGCCAAAAACAAAATATATCCGCAAACTGTGCGTTTTTGCATTTTTTTCTTATATTTAAGAAAACTGCATCAGAGACGATTTTTCAAGTTGATGCTGTGGTGAGTAACAGCGCCAGAAGAAATCAGCTGACCGGGTCGTGAAATCTTATAGTCTCGGTAAAAACCAGAGCACCGTCGCAGTTAGGGTAAAGGTCGCCGTTTGTATTATTAGATAAGATATAGGGTGGGGGTCAACTAGAAACCTAATATCCTCTTATCCACACCGGGTGGCGTGGGCTATGTCAAAGATATACTTCTTTTCGATTATCCAGTTCCAGGAACGTTAAAGTTCCATATATAAACTAAGTAAACCTTTTTTTTTCTTTTTTACAAAATCCATTTGAAGTTGCTAATTCCTTTATTTAAGGACATAAAATTTTAAAATACACCTCGATTCAGCATCTAGAATCTGTAGTTCCAGTTCTTGACTCGCTTCTCTGGTAAAATCTAGTCTATATATTTTCCTCATTGAACTAACGTATACGTATATTTTCTGCAAGAACATGCGTTAATGTTTATAATGTTTAGTTTCTAGAACTATTAGATAAATTACAGCGACAGTTTAGTCTGATAACGGTTAACTATTACGCAGTTTCATAGAATGCGAGCAGAACTTTCACCAAAACATTATTTAAACGGAAGAAGAAAATTGTTTATCACTCTTTAATAGGTTTTCAAGATTTCTGATAAAAACATATATATATGTATATCCTACATGAAAGGAGAGATTTTGAAATACTGTTTTTAATATTAAGTTTATTTCAATTATTTTCTTCTCAGTTTCAGATAATTATTTTCAAATTATAATTGGAAATAATATTTACAAATCCAGAACCAGTAGGCTAAATTTACCCCTTTGATAGTCAGATTTTGTTTTCGTAGATATATACTACCCCAAGTTAGGAAATGAAATGAAATGAAATGAAATGGGGTTTAACGTCCTACTGTTCTGCTCCTAACCTGGGCTAATGAAGACGGGCATACGCCATACAGCTAGGAAATTTTGTCCGGGCAGCGGCGCTACGGCCTACTCTTATATCGAATTCCATCTGTCAAGAGATCTTTTACGTGCACGCCAATGTGTACACGGGACTTCGGTTTTTAGTCCCATCCGAACGACTAGACAGCTGTCCTTGTCAGGCCCTCCATCGTGCATCACTGACAAGGGGAAACCACGCCGGAAAATCTTTGTGAACTTTCGCGGCCAATGCAGGGATCGAACCCCCGACCTCCAGGCTAGCGAGCCAGCGTCTTACCCACTTACCCACGTGATCCCCCCCCCCCCAGTTAGGAATCTTTGCTATATATATATAGCGTCAGCTAGGCCGTTTAGAGACTTTCTCATTATAACCTCTGTGAAACAGATTGCAGCGTCATGTTGTCGTTTGAGTTACATACTGAAAGTTTCTTTTATTTGTTGCGTCCTGTGAAATCTTGGAGTACCTGGGATATAGAATAGAATAGAATTGTATTGCATCGAAACGTCCTTTGATGACAGCATATACAAAGTATTAAATACAAGTGTAAAAAAATTGGACGAGTACAAATGGACAGCCATAAATTCAGAGCACTCATATAAATAGACAGTATAAAACCTGCATACATGGTACATATATGAAAGTTCGAAACAAAACGGGGTCACAGTGGGTAAGACGCTGGCTCGCTAGCGTGGAGGTCGGGTGTTCGATCCCTGCATTGGCCGAGAAAGTTCATCCAGATTTTCCAGCGAGGTTCCACCTTAATTGTCAGTGATGCAGGGCAGCTGTCTAGTCGTTCGGATGGAACGAAAAACCGAGGTCACGTGTACACATTGGCGTTGGAATTCGATATAAGAATAGGAAGTAGTGCCGCTGTCCGGGCAAAAATTTCCCTCATAGCACACTGTATGGCACATGCCCGTCTTCATTAGCCCAGTTCGAAGTAAGACGTTAAACCCCATTTCATTTCATTTCGAAACAAAACGTACAAAGTATAAAATCACATGACCAAAACAGTATAAAACCCACATAAATGGTACATAATATATAAAAATACAAAACAAAACTTGCGAACATAAAAGACAATAAAATATCATGCAATTTAACATTTTAGTTGTCTCTATATGTCGGACAATAATGTATTAATGATCTCTGATTTCCTAACGAACTGGCGGCACTACAAACGTATAAATCTCATATCAGAGCGTTCAAGACGAATTAGCCATGGGGCCCTTTTTTGGTGCAATAGCAAGGGGTTGAAATGGGGGCCCCGATTCTGGCCCGAATGGGGGCTCAGGGAATTACCTTCTTATTTTCAAATCTAATCTAGTCGATTGGATGGGACGAAAATCTGGGGTCCCGTGTACACGTTAATTGGCGTGTACGTAAAAGAAACTTTGAGATTTGGAATTCAGTTGCTTTCCTGGCAAAATTGCCCTCATAGTAGGCCTACACTGCATGACATAGGCCTATGTCCGTCTTCATTAACTGAAAAGTGGGCCTGTTAAACCCTTATTTCATTTCATTCATTCATTTATGTTGATAATATGTAGGCCTTCTACTATATTTATAATATTCTGATGAACTTTTTGACACTTAATAAAATTTTTTCGACTATTACTTCATTAAATTTATTAGCTAACAAACATTGTCATTTGGTGGCTTTAGATTAATCATAGATCGATCGGGTTAATTTGGGCCTAAAAAGTTAAAACGTTTCGGGCAAGGCCGTAACGAGCTCAGACCAACGAGGGGGTGGGAAGTGTTCTCAGGGATGCTGTAAAATTGACGGACATTGTATATCTATGGTCCAATAATAAAAATAATTTTTAATATTATATATATTAAAACTATTTTTTTAAGAGTACCAAGTCTTATAATAATCTTAAAGTAATCTTTGTCTATACAGTCAATGGGAGATAACTCCAATAATAGAAACAAAGAGCTTTTCATACAATTAAAACTATTTTATCCAAAGGACTAATTTTGGGAATTGATTGAACCCCAAACCTTCTTATAAATCCACCTTTATCATTTTTCTTTGTCATTTAACAGTCTTGCTGTGTCTAGATAACAGTCAATGGCACTCGGGAGTTCTCGGTTATCTTCTTTGGCTAAAATTTTAATCACAATAAATTGGTGGGCCGAATGAGACAATTCTTGGGTTGATATCTTGCTGGATAATCACGACTTTAGTCCCATAAACTTCCGGTAATAACAAAAAAATAGATCGACTTTTGACAGTTTTGTTCATTGCATTAAAACTTTTAAGTTAGACATTTTTGCAGAAGAAACCTCACAATACTGTTTCCATTTCCAAAGTAATTATAGCGCAATGAAAGGTTTTCATTCAGCAAAAGAACCCTCGTCATAATTATCCTCGTCGTAATATTATATTTTTTCCAGGCTATGGGCAATTTATTCCGATTCCTAATATAATATATAATTTTAAGTTATTAAAATAGATCTATCGGTATCAGTATCACATCAAATACCTTGACATTATTATCAATATTTTTCTAAAAACGGTATACCCCTATATTAAAAGGTAGCTAATTATAAGTCTAACTCAATAGGCCTATCGTCCAAAGCCTTCGACATTGAAAACAGGAATTATTTGTCAATTTAAATATTTTAAATCAACATTTATGTTGGGATCTTACGGGGAAAAGATGGCCTTCTGATATCCAATATTTAAGACAAATTAAACATTTTACCATTGGTACACACTAATAGTGTAGGCCTACCATAATGCGTTTCAGGTAACAAGGGTCTCGAAGAACGAGTCTAGACCTATTCCACAAGTTATGTCCAAACGGTGACGACATATTCTTATCTGGAGAGCATGCACAATAAATACTATCGGTGTAGATTGAAATAACCAGATGCTAAAGATTGTCATTCGATTGAGACTTCTGACTTATTTCGCCGAACATAACTGATTAGAAATTACTGTAAAAACAGAAACGATTAAATGTTAATCAGTTTATATACATTCATATTACATTATTATATTTCTAGGTCCCAAATATTACAGATTTAGCTCTTTTTTGTAGGCTGTATGTGCGTATAATCAATGTTTTTGTACGGCAATTGTGGAAACAGAGTTAGAGTTATTTTTGATTGTTTCCTCAGTGCTGCTCATCTTGTTGTTGTTCTTTTTAAGGGCAACACCCTTTTAAAAAAAAAAGCCTTTTTACTCTGACAATTCAAGGATTGCGATCGATTGATAGACTTTGATTCTTTAAAAGGATGCCATGTTCGGTTCCTGGTCCATATCGTTCTTGTTAAAATGCATAAGATCCCAATTTTCATTTAAAAGTGTTTTATTTCAGATTATTGTACAGTATGTCTTAGAGAAGTGAAATGAAAGAAACAATGTAGAAAGCAATACAATACAAATATTAACCCAACGTATTCATGATGTAAGTAATGGTATATCCATTCATGATATTATTTCTGAAACTAGTATAATAATAAAAAACAACTTTATTTAATGAGACAACTTATTTAGTTATCAGCAAGAGAGAGGGAGAGAAATGGGGTTTAACGTCCACTCGACGCAATGTAGGTCATTTGGGGACTAACACATTGTTCAATTTTATTTCAATAATTCACTTGCGCGTAGGTGACTTTAGCAATAGAAGCAAACCGGAGGACCCAGAGAAACTGAAGAGTTTTGACAGCCGTCCCTACTCCTTGCCACATACAAACGTGGAATCAAAACCATGCCAATTGACTCAATAACAGACCTTATGATACAATGCGAACTTGCTAACCATTCGGCCATCCAACCCCCCAGTTTGCAGCAACTAATCTTCAATAAGTCACTTTTGTTGTCTGTTGAGGTACAAGGGGGTTAGATGGTCGAATGGTTAGCATGTGCACGCTGTATTGTGAGGGCTGTCATTGAGTCAATTGGCATGGTTTCGATTCCCCGGTTTACGTGACATGGAATAGGGTCGGTCGCCTGTCATCTAATCTATATATATATTTGTGACTGTTGTTTGTCTGTTTGTCTGTCTGTCTGTTTGGGGTTGGCGGCTACATTATGTCTGCCCCGAGTCTGAAATTTGGGGTATAAGGATAGCTCGGTCCGGGAAGTAACATAGGCCAGGTGGCGTTAGTCTACCACTTCCGGTTTCGGAGTTATGACTCCCGAGCGAAGCCGGGTATCCTGCTAGTTTTCCATAATGCAACTTTAAAAGAGAAGTTGGGGGGGTGGATGGCCGAATGTTTAGCACGTGCGCGCTGTATCATAAAGCCTGTCATTGAGTCAACTGGCGTGGTTTCGAATCCCCCGTTGTACGTGACAAGGAGTAGAGTCGTCTGTCCAACCTCGTGGGTTTTCTCCGGGTCCTCCAGTTTCCTCCCACTGCTAAAGACCCCTACGCGCAAGCGAATTATGGAAATAAAATTAAACCATATGTTAGTCCCAAAATGACCTAGTTTGTGTCGAGTGGACGTTAAACCCCATTTCTCTCTCTCTCTTTAAAAGAGAAGTTATATTGACTGTAACTGTAGTATTTTTTATTATTATAGTTAATACAGAAGTTATATTGACTATGTAACTGTAGTATTATTTATTTATTATAGTTAATACAGAAGTTATATTGACTATGTAATTGTGGTATTATCTATTATTGTAGTTATTAAAGAGAGAAGTTATATTGACTATGTAATTGTGGTATTATCTATTATTGTAGTTATTAAAGAGAGAAGTTATATTGACTATGTAATTAGAGTAATAAGATGGAAGAACGGGAGAATGGTAGAAGTATAAAAGAGTTTCCAGATAATATATTATTAAATATATTCTCTAACTTGTCTATAAAAGATCTGACACATGTAGCTGTGATATGTAAAACATGGCATCGTGTATCATTAGATGATTTTTTATGGAGAGATATTTTTCAGCGAGATTGGAAGGTAAAATCCTATTTTTAATTCATTATCAAAGAAAGGAGGGAGAGAGAGAAATAGGGTTTAATGTCCACTCGACACAAACTAGGTCATTTCGGGAGTAACACATGGTTCAATTTTATTTCAATAATTCGCTTGCTCGTAGGGGTCTTTAGCAGTGGGAGGAAACTGAAGGACTCTGAGAAAACACACGAGATTGGACAGGCGACCCTACTCCTTGTCACGTACAACCGTAGAATCGAAACCATGCCAGTTGAATCAATTATAGACCTTATGAACATTCGGCCATCTTCATGGTTGGCTGAGAAAGTTCATCAGAATATGCCTGCTTGATTTCCTCTTGTCAGTGAAAGAAAAATAGACAATTGGAACTTTTCTAATAACACACTGAAGTGCATAGTATATATGCCTGTCTTCATTATCTCAGTTGACTTGTCTACGATATGTTCCTTGGTGGAAGTGGACGGAAAACACTAGGAACGAACGAAAGCCTAGTTGATGAAGAAAAGAGGGATGTTAAACCCCATTAATTTCAAACATTATAAGTTCATTTACTAATAATTTAAGATACATGTGCAATAGTTTGTTGTGGATCTTTGTTCAATATGGAAAGTAACTAATTGTGGGTGGTTTGAATATTGTCGAATGAGCTGCAAGATGTAATCTTTACATGCAAATTCCAATTAAGCATATTTTGGGGCCTTTCTATATGCCCACATTTTCATGTGGATGTATATTGTCGTTGCCCCTATTCGTCCGGATGTCCGTTCACAATTTGTTTGTGGACAATCTACAGGTCACAATTTTTATCTGATTTTGACGAAACTTGAAATATAGGTTTAACTCCCAAATTAGCCTGTATCGCACTGTAGCGTCATTGGTTTTGACGCCTGATTGTACGAAAAATCACATTTTCAGCTTGTGGACCCTCTAGACGTCACAATTGTTGTCCGATTTTGATGAAACTTAAAGTATATGTTTATATCCCAAAGAGCTCAGTTCCTTGTGATATTTGCTCATTTCAGACCATAACTTCCTGGATTATGGCCTCTGATTGTACGACACATCACGTTTTTATACGCCCACATTGAAATGTGGTCGTATATTGTCGTCGCCCCCGTCCCGCCGTCCGTCCGTCCGTCCGGCGTCCACAAGCAATTGGTTTTGACCCCTGATTGTACGAAAAATCACATTTTCAGCTTGTGGACCCTCTAGACGTCACAATTGTTGTCCGATTTTGATGAAACTTAAAGTATATGTTTATATCCCAAAGAGCTCAGTTCCTTGTGATATTTGCTCATTTCAGACCATAACTTCCTGGATTATGGCCTCTGATTGTACGACACATCACGTTTTTATACGCCCACATTGAAATGTGGTCGTATATTGTCGTCGCCCCCGTCCCGCCGTCCGTCCGTCCGTCCGGCGTCCACAATTGCTTGTGGACGCTCTAGTGGCTAAAGTTAATATCCGATTGACTTTAAATTTATGTACAGTGTTTAAGGCCATGAAACGAAGAAGCCTATTGATTTTCAGTGATTTCCGATAATTACTGCCAGAGTTATGGCCCTTGATCATTTCAAAAAATCTTGTGGACGCTCTAAAGGCCAAAGTTAATATAAGATTGACTTTAAATTTATACACAGTGTTTAAAGTCATGAGACGATGAATCCTATTGATTTTCAGTGATTTCCGATATTTACTGCCAGAGTTATGGCCCTTGATCACTTTGAAAAATCTTGTGGACGCTCTAGAGGCTAAAGTTAATATCCGATTGACTTTAAATTTATACACAGTGTTTAAGGTCATGAGACAAAGACGTCTATTCAATTTCAGCGATTTTCGATAATTACTGCCAGAGTTATGGCCCTTGATCACTTCAAAAAATCTTGTGGACGCTCTAAAGGCCAAAGTTAATATCCGATTGACTTCAAATTTATACACAGTGTTTAAGGTCATGAGACGAAGAAGCCTATTGGTTTTCAGCGATTTCCGATAATTACTGCCAGAGTTGACTTCAGATTGATACACAGAGTTTAAGAGCTTGAGACGAACAAGAATATTGATTTTCAATGAATTTTTATGACTTGAACAGCTAAATCCAAGATATTAAAAGTTTTGTATACTAAACGTTAGCATGGGGCAGAACTTTATAAAAACCAAACAAATTCTAATGATTTTCTGATAATTACTTCATGAGTTGTTACTCTTAATCAGATTTTAGTGTATTATAAATGTTTGATTACTGAAAGAAGTAAAAATATGGGACAACACTTGTTGACTGCCCGGACGATTTAGCTGCTGTGGGCGTATGTTTCGTTGCCTGGCAACCTATCTTTGCTTTAGCTTGTTCTCTATCCATCTCTTGCAAAATGTGGACATATCTGGCATGGCAACTGCTAGTTACAATATTTTACCAGATGTTCTGTTTACCTGAACACAGGTATTTATCTAGATTCAGGTATTGGTGTGTGATATTGATAGGTGTTATTTATTTTTAATTTTAGATTAAGAAATCAATAACCATTGCACCAGGAAAGTGTTACTGGAAGAATGAATATAAAAGATTAATTTATCATACACCTGCTAGAGAAAGTCAGAATATACAGCATCATAAAGATCAAGTTTTACACGTTAGTTTCTCTCATAATGGTCTACTGTTTGCTACATGCTCTAAAGATGGCACATTTAAGGTATGTAACTCTTAAAAATACTGTAACAGATGGATAAATCTCGGACTGAATTTTAATCAGATTTTATAGAGGCTATACAATTATTATCCGATTGACTTTACGTTTATACATAGTGTTTATGGTCATGAAAAGAAGAAGCCTCTTGATTTTCAGTGATTTCCAATAATTACTGTTTTAGTTATGGCCCTTGATCCCTTTGAAAAATCTTTGTGGACGGTCTAGGGTCTAATGTTATCATGAGATTGACATTAGATTTACACACAGTTTTATGGCCATGAAACGAAGAAGCCTTTCCATGAAGTACTAAACTAAGAATGATATTTTTCCAACATGATTTTCATTTTGTAGTACTTTTATTGTTCTAATTTCTGTTATTCTTATTATTTAGGTTTGGACATCTGAACACCCGTGTAAATTACAGTTTCAATATGATATGAAGGAGTTTCATTGGAAGTATACTCAATTCTCTCAGTTTAATATGTCTGATAGTTTATTATTGGTGTCGGGTGTTCATTTTGGAGAAAGTAGTACGTCAGGAGAAATAGCTGTATTTAGTATACATGGTAAATATAAACTTTTATTTCTAACTAACATAACAGTTATTATGCTGCGTGGGGTCATGGTGGTTAAGTGGGTAAGACGCTGGTTCGCTAGACTGGAGGTCAAATGTTCGATCCCTGCATTGGCCGAGAAAGTTCATCCAGATTTTTCGGCGTGGTTCCACCCCTTGTGATGCAGGATGGAGGGCCTGACAAGGACAGCTGTCTTGTCGTATGGATGGGACGAGGTCCCGTGTACACATTGGCGTGCACGTAAAAGATTCCTTGACAGTTGGAAATCGATATAAGAGTAGGCCATAGTGCCGCTGTCCGGGCAAAATTTCCCTCAAAGCACACTGTATGGCATATGCCCATCTTCATTAGCCCAGTTCGGAGCAAAACAGTAGGACGTTAAATCCCATTTCATTTCATTTTATTTTGTGTCGAGTGGACGTTAAACCCTTTTCATGTTTTTTTTATTTTGTGTCGATTTTAAGTTAAACCCCATTTCTCTTTCTCTCTTAAGTCAAAATTCCATCGAAATGAAAATTGGAATTGGAATTACTTTTATTCAAATCATATATATGCCAGTTATTCATAAAATTTAGTTTTAGCCGATACATAGCATGGAAGACATTTATAGCAATTGTTTTTAGCTCTGTGAACTTTGCAAACAAATGAGAAGTGGAATCAAAATGAAATGAAATGAAATGGGGTTTAACGTCCTACTGTTCTGCTCCTATGCTGGGCTAATGAAGACGGGCTATGAGGGAAATTTTGCTTGGGCAGCGGCAATATCGCCTACTCTTATATCGTATTCCAACTGCAAAGGGATATTTTACGTGCATTCCAATGTATACACGGGACCTCGGTTTTTCGTCTCATCCGAAGGACTAGACAGCTGTCCTTGTCAGGCCCTCCGTCCTGCATCACTGACAAGGGGGAACCACGCCGGAAAATCTGGATGAACTTTCTCGGCAGAAGTGGAATCAGTTGTTGTGGAAAATGAAGACATACCCTTTGCCATCCATTTCATTCATTCCACTTAGATTTCGGAGATGAAGAAAAGTGTTGATGTGTTTTTGTGAAGTCAAGTTTAATAATTCCGTATTAACATATCTGGTTAAACCCTATTTCATTTTATTTCTTTATCTTTGTAAACGTGAACATGTGAATTTCACAATTCCTAAAAAAAAGTTTTGAATCAAAGTTCAAGATTTTCAGAAAAAGTGTTGTTTTTTGAGTTTTCGAGAAAAAGAGTTGTTTTTTGAGTTTTCGAGAAAAGTTTTGTTTTTTGAGTTTTCTAGAAAAAGTTTTGAGTTTTCTAGAAAAAGTGTTGTTTTTTAGTTTACTAGAAAAACTTTTGTTTTTTGAGTTTTCTAGAAAAACTGTTGTTTTTTTAATTTTCTAGAAAAAGTGTTGTTTTTTTAGTTTTCTAGAAAAAGTGTTGGTTTTTTTTTTCACTATGCCACATAATCTTTGATTATCACCCTCATTCAATTTCTTTTCTTCCAGATAATTTTGAACTACAGTGTAGAATGATTAACAAGCCATATGATGTATTTGGTACATGGTATAATGATACTCATTTATTATCTGGTAGTCTTTATTGGACAGGTGATCTCAATTCCTGCTCCGCCCTCTGGCTAAATATGGTACTGGTAAGAACTATCTATAGACATGTACAACTAGTTCATTTTTGTCATGATATCACCTAATTCCATTTTTAGAAATTTAACTTATCACACATTTGATAATAAACAAATTTCTAAAATTACATGTTATGACAGAAATGTATATTATGTCTAATAGATAGTTTTTTTAAAATTAATTTTAGAATTTTATCAGTCTGATTAAAGTACATAGAGGATATTTGTCGTTTTGTCGTGAATAACATATTTTATTTCATCGAGAAGCAAGAAAACTGATATTTTCACGAATGCGTAGCATGAGTGAAAATATAAACGTTTTCTTGCTTAGAGATGAAATAAAATATGTTATTCACGACAAAACGACAAATGTTCTATTTATTTTATGATTTTACAATCATTTTAGGTAAAAACAACATGGACTACTGCTAGCCAGTGGAATAACACTTTTATTTCACTGATAAAACGCGGTATTCCACTACTGATCATAAAATAAAGATCTATATTTCATTTGTTGTTTTTTTTTATACTTTCGACGGCCTACACTACATGAAGATTCGACCAGTTGCAGTGGAAGGTCATGTCAGGTGTCATACGAGCAGCTTTAGACCCTATGACATCAGACACTGATTAATCAATCAGCGTTGATGTTTCTAGTGGTTTAACCAAAGTTCTGTGCACCTCATGCCAAAAACTCACCGTAACAGACCGTAGAACGTGGGTTATATAACAACTCTTCCAGATCCTAGTGTAGTAAAGACAAGTAAAACAAAATTTTGAACTATAAAAAAACAAAACGAAATAGGATCTGTGTTTTAATCAAATTGGAATTTTATAAGCTTGCCTTTATTTTATTAGTATTAATATGACATTAGGTTAAAATACAGGTAGAAATATAGTTTATAACAATGTCCAGATCCAACATAAGTACCATTCTGTGATAATAGTACATTTATTTTATTCAAATTATGTGTCAGAACCAGGGCTGTCATTGTCATCATACTTGCCAGTCTTTGAAACTGGTGGTAAATAAGCAAGTAAATGGAATTTTCAATATACATCCTAGAAATTCTAAAATTTTAATCAGATGAGTTTGAAGAATTTTTAAAAGATTTGCAATTCGAATTCGGTCAATGAGATGGTCTAAGAAGGTGATAGACAGAATATCCCAGGGGAAACAACTCTGATATGAACTATATATAGCAATAAACCATAACATATACTTAAGGAAGAAAAATTACGTTTTCAAACAAGAATAGGACCAAATATATAAGGCAATTATTTATAGACAAGTAATAATTAACAGCTGGTGGCTGGTTCATTTATGACAAGCAGGTTTCAGTAATTGTCAACAAATCACTATGATTGTCATTTAAATCTTCTTTTATACATGTTGCTTCGATTTGACTACCATGTATATTCATCAAACATATTTGGGGGGTTGGATGGCCGAATGGTTAGCGCGTGCGCTGTATCATAAGGTCTGTCATTGAGTCAACTAGCTTGTACGTGACAATATTTTTCTGGTTAACTTGAATACTAGTCACAAATTTGTCATGGTTAATGGACGTGATCACCGATATCAGTCGAGTATCCTGAGTCATTTTGTAAACATATAGTTTTGATTTTTGCTTTCAGGCATCTCAAGCGATAGAGACAGAAGATGAGTCTGTGGTGATGCGACTGTTTAAATTTCATAATCAGAATGCCAGCTCTATTCGAACTATAATGATAGCCAACTGCTATAGTGAACAGCAGAGATTCTTCTTAAAACAGCGTAAAATAATGTTTCAACACGTCAATGAGTGTTCTATGTGCAAAACTAAATATTATTTAAGTACTGCTCCAAGCTGTATGAACGATAGTATGGATAGCGAAGATTTTAATCGTCTTAATGAAAATACCAACCAGAGAGATTTGTGTCGAGAGGATAGTAAACTTTTGGCAGAACCCCATGATGCCGATAATGAGCCATTGATAGATGTCATCAAAACCATGTTGAACGGAACCATAGAATATAAAACTGAATATCGTCAAGCCGTAGAAAGGATGAGCGAAATAGACGGACAAAAGATAAAACCAGACACATTTAATGAAATTAGAAAAACTATTAACAAAGAAAATGATTTGGACATTGAAATTGACGAATGTTCATGTAGTAGTGAAAATATTATAACCGAAAATCAATCGACTCCCGATTCAATCTATTGTGATAAATTTAATATGAGTGACGCACGATTATTTGATTCTGATCATTACCTGTGTGACAAGTTATTGATATTTACGCTAGGATCTGAAGCTTACACACCTCATCAAATAGGTATTAAGAGAATACCAGCATTAGGTACGGCTAAAAAGATGAAAGACAGTCGCGGTAATCGTATATTACCTAGCGTATCGGATAATAATCAGGGATTAGATCGCACCTATGATAAAGTAGATCATACATTTGAAATGGGTGGCCATATTATTGGTATGTGTTTATCTCCAGATCAGAGGTAAGTTGACAGGTATGATAGTCTAACAACAGGGGATTGGATGGCCGAATGGTTAGCGCGTATGTGTGGTATCATAAGGTCTGTCATTTAGTCAACTGCCATGGTTTGAATTCCCCGGTTGTACGTGACATTGAGTAGGGTTGCATCGTTGGTTTTCTCCGGGTCCTCTTGTGGTCTCCCACTGCGAAAGACCCCTATAATTGAAATAGAATTGAACCATATGTTAGTCCCAAAATGACCTAGTTTTTGTGTCGAGTGGACGTTAAACCCCCCTCCATCTCTCTCTCTCTCTGTTTGACATTCCATACTTAAAATTAATGACTTTAAGAAGCATATAAATTGTTAACTTCATATTTCAGATTTCTATATGTTAACTGTCGTCCGTGGCCGAGAAATTATAGAATAGAAAAGCCTTTAGAACCACCACCATTAGCCCAAGAGATAGATATACATGTTATAGATCTAGAGAGAATGATAGAAGTTGGTACCATGTTAAAATCACATAAAGCATACACAGCTAATGATGAATGTTTCTTCATCTTTTTGGATGTTAGTGATGAATATGTTTCAAGGTAAAAATATTAAAATATTTGTGTCCTTGTTCAAATTTTAGATTTTACTCTTGTTCCTCCCAATCCCAACATCTAATGCTAGGTTCCCACTATCATGATTCGTGCTACGATTGAAATCGTGGTTTTAATCGCGGGGTAATCGTGGTGAATCTATCAGGTCTTATCATATATTGAGGTTAGTTGTAGCAATCGTGTTGATCGTAACGAAATGTATCTGAACCTATCGTGGACAATCCTGTCGTAACGCATCACACGACAGTGGGAACTGAGCATAAGATAGGGGTTTAGCCATTTGGCTATCCAACCCCCCAAACATTAAATGAACTTATCTGAATGTTGTTTATTTCAGTGGAGCTGAAGACAAACATGGTTATATCTGGGACAGACATTATGGAATATGTTTAAATAAATTTCAACACCAGGATGTGGTTAATTCTGTAGCCTTTAATCCAATTGATCCAGAAATGTTAGTTAGTGTCAGTGACGATAATTTTATTAAAGTGTGGCGTTCGCGAAACTGGTTTCATCAGCAGAAGAACGTGCAGAGTGCGGCTTCAAATTCCTTAAGTACACTGAATACTTTTAAAGATGTATCACGAAAATGGGAGACTATGGATAATGATACTCTAGAAATGAGTGATTAAAAATCTGTTATTACTATGGCCTACAAAAAATTATTCTAGTTCTCAGACAGTTCTTAAAATAAACAATTTTTATTTTGTCATAGAATCACTACTCAATCTGACTAAAACACAGATCCTAATTCGTTTCGTTTTTTTTTTAGTTCAAAATTTCGTTTTACTTGTCGTTACTACACTAGGATCTTGAAGAGTTGTTATCATTGACATGTTCTGGATGATGTAAGGGATCAGCCAATGAAATGGTCTGTTACGGCGAGCTTTTGGTGTGATGTGCACGGAACTGTGGGTAATCCTCTAGAAACATCAATGCTGATTGGTTAATCGAATGTCTGACATCATAGGTTAAAAATCGCTCGTATGACCTCTGACGCGACCTCCCAAAACAACTGGTCAGATTTGTATTTTAGTCAGATTGATCACTACTTGACTATATATACAAATCAAATTCTTGTTTATAGGAATGTTTGGTTATCCAATATCATTTATCAATCTGATCAAAATACAGATCTATATTTCGTTTCGTTTTTTATACTTTCGATGGCCTCTACTACATGAAGATCTGGCCAGTTATAGTGGGGGTTCACTTCAGGGGTCAAAAGACCGACTTTTGACCTATGACGTCAGACATTTGATTAACCAATCAGCATTGATATTACTAGTGGATTACCCACAGTTCCGGCCAAAAAAGGTCAAACACTCGATTCGACAGACCATTTGATTGGCCGACCCCTCATTTCAAGCAAAACACAAGTTAAATAACAAGTCTTCCAGATCCAAGTGTAGTAAAGACAACTAAAACGAAACTTTGAACTATAAAAACGAAATGAAATAAAAACATGTCATGCGCCCTTTTAAAGTGGGAGAAAGGTAGATCAGAGACTGTCCTGCACATATGATGTCGTATGTTCATGGTGCATTAGGGTAGAGTAAGGGTTAGGTTTGGTCCAGGGTTAGGGTTAGTGCTAGCCCAGTTTACATCCCAAGATTTTATTAAAAATCTGTAGGTCCTAACCCTAACCCTCTATCCACATATGACGTCATATGTGCTATCTAGCGTTATCTTTCAAATGAGACAGGATTTTGTCTGAGAAGAAGAATATTTTTTTATATATGGTCTATACACTGTAACCCAGGCTGACCTTAAAAATATCTTTGTTTCACCAAACCCAACCCACAATCGAGGAGAAGGGTCGGTAGGTCGGGTTTATTTTTCAGATTTTTTTTTTTAAGAGCTAATTTGACAGCTTGATAATTTTCCGGGTGCAAACATTCGTCTTCTTTTATTGGCAAACAAATCAATGACATCGGGATTTTTCTTGATCTTTGATGCACGACTCGCACACAAATTGCGACACACTCACGTTTGAAACTCCCTCAACACGTTTTTAACGATCGTGCGGGTTGTGCCTTTATTTTTCTCGAAAACGGATATTGAAAATATCGTCGTCATGTTTAAAACGACGCCCCACAGACATAGAGGCAGAATCATTTCGTGAGAATGGACGTGCTTTCAGCTGCAACCATTTTGTTGAGAAGCGACACCTATGACGCTTTTGTCTTGATCAACCAGTTTCAATAATGAATCAAACCCAATTACCCCTAAGTAGCCATAGTAAAGGGAAATAACTCTTGTGATATATTTCAGGTTGACACACAAAATAAAATAAAAAGATTGCGGAAAAGTGCAATAAAATAATTTAAGTCGGGGGTGGTTTTAGTTAGTCGGTCGCGTTAGGCGAAACAAAGATATTTTTAAGGTCAGCCCCAGGTATCATTTAATCTTGTGTATCTAGCACTAATTTCTTTCACATTCGTTTAATATCAAATCTTTGTTTAAAAATTTGTAAAAATCGTTTAAAATCAACCAAAATCATCTAATTTGTACTTGTCTCCAGTTTAAAGCTGACTGATTAATTTTGATAATGAGTGTCCAATTTACAAGTATTTAATTTCCTGACCACTGTTCAAAAGTTAATCATTATACATCATTAATCAATTGGGTTGTTTATTTTTTAACAGTGATTGAGAAATTAAACACTTGTAAATTGAACACTCATTATCAAAATTGAATGGTCAACTTTAAACTGGACAGAAGTACAAATTAAATGATTTATGGTGATTTTAAACAATTTTTACAAATTTTTAAACAAAGATTTGATATTAAAGGAATGTGAAAGAAATTAGTGCTAGATACACAAGATTAAATGATACCTGGGTTACAGTGATAATATATGCATATAGAGAATATGTATTATTACAGATTCTTTTACAGTACTTATCCAGGAATATCAACCATTTTACCATGCTTTTATTGAATGCAAAATTTATATTCAATTTTAAAATAATTAGTATTATAGTTTGTATTATTAAAAAGTGTGATTTTATGTAAATCGGCTGGTAGTGGCCATTGAAAAATGTAACTTTGTACTAAAGTGTGTACCTATGTTATATCCGTAAAACCATTGTCTCTCGCTATAAAACATGTATGCTTATTTACTGCATGAAAGTGAAGTTCACTATGTATAGTTTAATGGTCAAGTGCGAGACATACAAGTAATATATTAATATTGTACGAGTGCTATATCTATATATTACGCAATGTCTTGCACAAGACGATTAAACAACATAAAATACAGACACTATCCAGAACGTGCATTCCAATGAAATACGTCCCACAGATCCAATATTTCAAGTAGTATAAATAATGTACACTTGGCACATTGCCCATACCATTATTTGAAATAATGGTACACCAACACGTGATGTCACATCTGTATTTTAAATGTAGATATTCTAAAAAAGACAAAGAAATATCAGTTTACAGGTGGTCATATAAGTCATACAATGAGATCTTTAATGTTTTTTACAAATCCCCACTATATAAAGGGAGATCGGCCACATATTTCTATATTCCAACAAAAATAATAGCGATAATTAAAGAAACATTATGGGAGATTAGATAAAGAGCTGGCAGTTCTCACTATAATAGTTAAAAACTAGATAATTTAAAGGGAATTTGCTGAAAATTTCAGTCAAATTGAACCACTCTGAACCAAGAATTTTGCGATTGAATTTTGGACCTAGCCTCGATCATCATTACTAAAGTCGGTAAGATAAAAACATAGTCTCGATTATCCACTTTTCGATTTAATCAGAAGCAGCAGACCAGGTTCTAATCCAGTAAATATCTCAGGCTAGTGATGGCATCGAGAGTTGATTATGGTCTGGATAAGTTAATTAATGTCTAATTAATAATTTAGATAACATTTCAGGCCTAAAGAAAGACCTGCAATTCGCAGATTTAGCTCTTGCATAATGTATGTTTAAGTAACTCTTAAAACATTTCTAAACACATTAGAAAAACAGGTGCAACCAAAATTGGCAATATTATTGTCAAAATAAACAAATTTGACCTATTAACTAAACATCACCGCCATCAGTATCTAAATTATTCAGGATATTTACAGATGGAACCACGGCTTTAAGTGCCACTGGTAAGCTGATACCGTTGACTAATTAAGCTAGGCCTTTTACAAATGACAATTCTTGTCATTAAATCATCAATCTGGTTAAAACCAGATCCTATTTCGTTTCTTTTTTATAGTTCAAAATTTCGTTTTACTTGTCTTTACTACACTTGGATCTTGAAGAGTTGTTATTTAACTCGTGTTCTGAATTGTGTCAGGGATAAGCCAATGAAACGGTCTGTCAAGGCAAGCTTTAGGCGTGTTCTGCACGGAACTGTGGGTAATCCACTAGTAACATCAATGCTGATTGGTTAATCAAATGTCTGACATCATAGGGTCATAAGTCGGTCTTTTGACCCCTGACGTGACCTATCGCTATAACTTGTAAGATCTTAATGTAGTGTAGGCCCTCGAAAGTATAAAAAAACGAAACGAAATAAAGATCTGTATTTTAATCAGATTGTTAAATCATATAAGTGGTCAGTATTCTAAAATAATAATAATAATAATTGTCTTATATAGCGCTACATTATGTCCAATGGTCATTTCTAAGCGCTGTTCAGCCACATTGTATATTATATAGAAAGTATCTCTTAGAGTATATTAATGATCACACCACTAGTACACCTTATTAAATAGATAAGTTTTTAAAACAGATTTAAATTCTGTAAATGTAGGTAGTTCCCGCATTATTTTTGGAAGATCATTCCAGAGAATTGCTCCATTAACAGTGAAAGAATGTTTAGTATGTATAGAAAGTCGTTATAGAAATTAGCAGGTGTGTAACTAGCTGTAAAAGATGTCACTACTGTTGTAAAGGCATGACTGTTTATAACACCCATGGCTATTGAATACACAAACCTGGACAATAGTGGTGTATATCATTCAATAGTCACAGTTTTAACACCTCAGTGACAAAACACCTATTTATTGACTACTGCCTGATTACTAACAATTTTAACTAACTAATACACATTATGTATATAAACTGATGACTTTGATCTATTAGTGTCGTTGCTTAGTCAATGATATCAACGCTACTGTGTGTAGAAGGACCTCATCACAAGGCTGATTGAGGATGTAAAAACAGGAGTCCAGTATATGATTATAAAGCATTGAGTCATAACACTGTAACATGGATATCATTTAATCTTGTGTATCTAGCACTAATTTCTTTCACATTCATTTAATATCAAGTCTTTGTTTAAAAATTTGTAAAAATCAATTAAAATCACCCCAAATCATCTAATTTGTACTCGTGTCCAGTTTAAAGCTGACTGATTAATGTTGATAATGAATGTCCACTTTACAAGCATTTAATTTCTTGACCACTGTTAAAAAATAAATCATTATACATCAATTGGGTTGTTTATTTTGTAACAGTGATCGAGAAATTAAACACTTGTAAATTGAACACTCATTATCAAAATTATTAGCTTTAAACTGGACACAAGTACAAATTTACGAATTTTTTTAAATATTATTTGATATTGAATGAATGTGAAAGAAATTGGTGCTAAACAACAAGATTAAATGATACCTTGGTGACAGTGTAACTTTAGTATGTCAGACTACATCATCCCAATTTTTATTGACCAGATTGTTCAAGCCCAATAATTCTTGCGATCTTTTTAGTGTAATAATGAATTATTTATTTTATGTTCTAACTTATTTAATCTTTTAAAATTTGTCTTCTTTTTTTTTTCTTTAAATCTCGTGAAACTGTTTATGGTTTGTTGTTTTTAACATGAATGTGTATAGATAGGAATGATGTGTGTATAGGTGTTTGTTTTATTCTACTGTTGTTTTTTTATATCGGGTTATGCTGTTTTTAAAGATCATCCTCAGATTTTGTTAAACATGAACTTCAAATATCTTTATGAATGAAATAAAATATTGTGCTAAACATTTCATTGTTTCTTTATTAAATTTTCGTATTAAGAATACATGTGTCATATCTTTTATGTGACAAATTCCTTTGGTGCTGATTTTCCTGAACAATTGTGTGTGGGAGGGGGGGTGGGGTGGCGTGTCGTTAGTTCGTGCGCGTTGTATCATAAGGTCTGTCATTGAGTCAACTGGCATGGCTTCGATTCCCTGGTTGTACGTGACAAGGAGGAAGGTCGCCTGTGCAACCTCGGGGTTTTTTTCCGGGTTCTCCCACTGCTAAAGACCCCTACACACAAGCGAATTATTGAAATAAAATTGAACCATGTGTTAGTCCCGAAATGACATAGTTTGTGTCGAGTGGACATTTAACCCCATCTCTCTCCTAAACAACAGCTGTCCCAAGATGGAAGTTGTCTCAAGCAGCAATGGTTTATTTTTAACCAAACTCTTGAGTTTAACCTCACAGGGGCCTTTCTGTGGTACCATACATAAATATAGATTTGCGTAGCTTACATATGTAACTGAAGTGTCATCAAACTGGGAAGGAAAAGATTTGTACAACTTGCCGTGTACTGAGATGTCATCAAATGGGGAAGGCGAAAAGTTGTTCAACTTGCCGTGTACCGTGATGTCATCAAATGGGGAAGTTGAAAAGTTGTTCAACTTGCCGTGTACAGAGATGTCATCAAATGGGGAAGGAAAAGATTTGTACAACTTGCCGTGTACCGAGATGTCATCAAATGGGGAAGGTGAAAAGTTGTTCAACTTGCTGTGTACCGAGATGTCATCAAATGGGGAACGCGAAGAGTTGTTCAACTTGCAGTGTACTGTACTGAGATTTCATTAAATGAGGAAGGAACATAGATGTTCATGTTGCAGTGTACTGAAATATCATCAAATGGGGAAGGAAAAGAGTTGTTCATCTTGCAGTGTACTCAAAAGGGTTGTTCAACATACAGTACAAACAGTTCCTTTTGGGCTAAAAACTGGCAGCACCCCTTGTACTGTTCATGGAGCAAACATCATTTTACCGAGGGATAACACATCTCCATTACACCATTTAATCATGTGTATTAGCTTGGAGTTGACCACGATTTGTTTTTTTGAAAAGCAAGATCAACATTTAATAATTTTTTTTAATAAAAAAACTGATATACAATATTGCATGAGCAAATATTTAAGGCAAAACATTTATTCATCAAAACTTAACTATATGAAGTATTATGGTAAAACATTTCTTGCAGAAAGAAACTACCGGTACTGTTACTTTTAATTAAAATTATATGATGATTTTTTAATGCCTCAGTGTGCATTTCTGAACAAAATTTTTAATAATGGATAACTTAATATATTTGAAGCGAATGTTATTAATTACTGATCTTTTTAAGGTAACTGGTCTACATCTAGCAATCTGATCAAAATACAGATCTATATTTCCT